AAAGTTGTTGGTATCTAAAGGAAGGTCTTGTCACAAGAATTACATATGTGAAGTACGAAAGCCCTAGCCCTAACCTTTCAAAAGATATGGACAAGGTTAAAGTTTTTTAAAAGTAGGTAAAACTCCAAGGTCACGGTCAAAGGGTCAAAGTTGTTGGTATCTAAAGGAAGGTCTTGTCACAAGAATTACATATGTGAAATATGAAAGCCCTAGCCCTAACCGTTCAAAAGTTATGGCCAAAGTAAAAGTTTTTTAAAAGTAGCTAAATTCCAAGGTCAAGGTCAAATGGTCAAAGTTGTCGGTATTTATAGGAAGGTCTTGTCTCAAGAATTACATATGTGAAGTATAAAAGCTTTAGCCCTAACCGTACAAAAGTTATGGCCAAGGTTAAAGTTTTTTAAAAGTAGGTCAAACTCATAGGTCAAGGTAAAAGGGTCAAAGTTGTTGGTATCCAATGAAAGGTCTTGTCACAAGGATTACATATATGAAGTATAAAAGCCTTAGCGCCAACTGTTCAAAAGTTATGGCCAAGGTTAAAGTTGGGTAAAATTTTGCAAAAGTGGGTCAGACTCCAAGGTCAAGGTCTAAAGGTCAAATTTGATGGTACCCAAAGAAAGCTCTTGTCACAAGGAATACACATGTGAAATATGAAAGCCATAGCCTCAACCAATCAAAAGTTACTTCACAGTGTAATCCTTGTGACAAGACCTTCCTTTGGATACCAACAACTTTGACCTTGAAGTTTGACCTACTTTTGGAAAACTTTAACCTTGGCCATAACTTTTGAATGGTTGGTGCTAGGGCTTTCATACTTCACATATGTGATCCTTGTGAAAAGACCTTTCTTTGGATACCAACAACTTTCATCCTTTGACCTTGACCTTGGTGTTTGACCTACTTTGGAAAACTTTAACCTTGGTCATATCTTTTGAACGATTGGTGCTTCAACTTTCATATTTCAGCTGTGTATTTCTTGAGAGAGGGCCTTTTCCTTGGGCACCATTACTTTTGACCATTTGACCTTGACGTTTGACATACTTTTGGGGAAAAAAAACTTTAACCTTTTCCATATCTATTCAATGGTTGCTGCTAGGGCTTTCATATTTCACAGGTTTATTCCTCGAGACAAGACCTTACTTTGGGTACCAACATATTTGATTTGCATTTGAGAAACTTTAACCTTCGCTATAAGTTGCTATACGGGGGCATCAGTGTTTCACAAACACATCTTGTTTATTATTATTATTAAAATATTCATCAATAATGATGTTTCCTATTTTCATTAAAACAATTTTTCACTTTTCTCCTGAGAAAATCTTTGCAAAAAGTAACACTAGAAGATTTTATCTGATTAATTTACTGCACTAGAGACATTAATCTATGACCATGAAAGCCATCCCCAATCTTCCTTCCAGACCATGCATCATCATATTTTAACGTTGATCTCCTTCCATTAAGTATAAAAGTATCAAGCCATGCGTGGATCCAGGATTTTTTTACCGGGGTGGGGGGGGGGGGGGGGGGGGGGGTGGGGGACGGTTAAGGGGCCACTGCTTCCGAAACTTCTTTGACAAAAAAAGTAGCTTGCCCAAACATGAAAACTTTAATGTATCTATTTCGTGGAGGGGGGTTCTAATTTCTTCAAATTATGCCTTTCCTCTACCATTTTACATGGGGTCCGTATTTCAGGGGGGAGGGGGGGGGCAAAGTAATTTTTTTCGTAACTTTACATAGTAATTTTATAACTCTGAAAATCCCAGCGGGGGTCCACCCCCTCCCCCTTCTAGATCCACACATACAAGTAGCCGAATTTATGATTGCTAGGATGAATACTTTATAGTATGTACATTGTAATCTTTCAGGGGTTTTACCTGGAAGGTTTTAACATAGCTTATATCATAAATATTAACTTCTTTGACAAAAAAAGTAATTTGCCCAAACATGAAAATTTTAAGTTTTAACCTATCTTTTTCGTGGAGGGGGTAACTTTACATAGTATTTATATATATATATATATAATGTAAATATTATATATTATTTATAAAAAACTTACTCCTTCCACTAAGAATTAAAGTACCAAGTCATGCGTAGATCCAGGATTTTTCGGCTACTTGTATGTGTGGATGTAGAAGGGGGGGGGGGGGGGGACCCCCGCTGGAATTTTCAGAGTTATAAAATTACTATGTAAAGTTACTTACTTACTTTACATGTAAAGTACACATATAATGTTAAGTTAGTTACTCCTTAAGTAGGAGATCTATCATCCAAAGAAGATGTGACTAACTGCATCGCAGATTAAACTCCATTGAGAGATTGGCATCTTCGCTAGCCAAGGGTGACGATCCGCTCCTATCCTCGAAAAGAGGAGAGGAGCGGATCGTCACCCTTGGCTAGCGAAGATGAGAGATTGGAAGGAGGCCTGACCCCCACCCACCCACTCCCACCCCCCTCCTTCGCCAATCGTCGACAAATAGATACAAGATATACTTATTACCTCTTATTCTTCATAAAACAGAAATTTAATTAAAAATTCATATATATTTTTTTCCCAATTGCGCTATTTTGTTGTAGTACATGAAATTTCTTTGAAGAGTAGAAGAATCATCAAAACTATTCAGTCGATTTTAGCGAGATGGAAAGGCATCACGAGCAATTTTTTTCATTTCGTTTCATAACTTGGTGACTCTTTACCACAGACTAATTGATTTATTTATACACAGAAAGTGGAATATAGGGTTAGGATTTTTTCCTCTCTCTAAGGCTCTGTGTACAAATTTACTGATAAAATTTCAGACATGTGGGAAGACAAACCAAATAATCCCGGCTCCGTAACAATATACCCTTCTTTGACACAGGAAATTATATCGATATACCATGAGCAACTTCGAAAACCAGAATATTGCCAGCCGAAATCTATTAATGTTCCGGAAATCTATTACGTCAGTCATGAGCAGTTTGGATTAGAACTTCATTATAAATCTTTGAAATAGTTCAGCTTTATTGTTGATAACTTTTTATCCTATTATGTAGCTCCATATTTTTTTAATAAGCAAATCAAACATATTTTTCCGATGGGAAAAAAGATTCCAATTCCTCTGCAAGAATGCCTAATCAACTTGCCATATTCCTCTTCAAAAGTTTAATCACTCATGCAGATGATCAGCGCTTCAGGCTGAGTAAAGTTATTTTTAAAAGTTATCAAAATCATAAACAACTGTTAGGTTTTTTTTCCTTTTCCCTCGAGTAACAAAATTTGTGGTACATGCAATTCTAAGATGTAAAGCAGCCGCTCACTGCTCTGGAAGAATAAGGATCATCACTAATTTTTTCTGATCAGATATATACAGATCTGCAGCTGGTAATTGTCTGCTTGCATTTTTGTAAGAGACGGCAGCTACGCACCATTAAGATGTGTTCCGTGCACATCGAAATACCTGCATATTTTTTACCAGAAACAATGTACACGTATTCCTGTAACAAACCCAGCCTTCTTACATGGTACTAAATGCACAATCGTTTTAGTAAGAGAAAACAAATCTTTATACCATTTTCATTGCAAAATATAGGTTTTTTTCAACAAAATAAATAAATGAAAGTTCATGGGTAAAGTAAACAACTACTTCTATACTCTAAGTGTACTGCAGATTTATATTTTTACAGTTCAAATGATTTAGAAAATAAGAGGCCCATGCACAACAATGCTCACCTGAGTGACTATGGCCCTTCTGTTCTTTATCAGCAGATTTTTCACTATATATTCCTATGTAAAATTAAGATAACTTATTGTGCCCCACCCTACCCTTAGGGATGATGATTTGAACAAACTTGAATCTACGCTACCTGAGTACGGTTCTATATAAAATGGACTAATAATGGCTTTGCTCTTCTTCAGAAGAAGACTTTAAAGATTTCTCCTATGTATTCCTATATGTAAAACTCTGATCGCCCATCATGGCCCCACCGTACCGCTGGGGATAATGATTTGAAGAAATTTAAATCTACACCATCTGAGAATGCTTTCATATAAATATAACTAGAATCATGACTTTTTGCTGTTCTTGAGAAGTAGATTTTTGTTAAAAAAATTCCTATGTATTCCTCTGTTAAAACTTTGATCTCACATATAGTGGCCCCATTGTAACCACCCCCCACCCCCAGTGGGGGTGGGTGGAATTATTTGAACAACTTTGAATCTACATTATGTCAGGAAGCTTTCACATAAGATTCATCTTTTCTGTCCCAGTGGTCTATTTCTTAATTATCTCCCCTTTGAAAAAGGTGTGGCCCTTCATTTGAACAAACTTGAATCACCTTCACCCAAGGATACTCTGAGCCAAGTTTGGTTGGTTCTAAAGAAGAAGATGAATATATGAAAAAGTTAAAATGACAATATTAAGGATAAACAAATTTCTATCAGAAAAGCTCAGTTGAGCTAATAATAATATTCTTAAAACAGTGAGACTCTGTCTGGAAAAATAGGAATAACAAAAATCCCATAAAAATTTCTGTTCACAACACAGAAGGGAAAATGTCCTACCCTTTTTCATATGGAAATACCTCGTTGAAAAGGTTCGTAACTTTTTTTACTGTCATATTAAAAACCTTTGGACCTGGCCAAAGAATTTTTTTTTTTTTAGAACTGTTGTTCAGAAAACAATTTTGAATATATACTGAGTGTAATAAGCATATTAATATACATATACTAATGAACTGATGTTCATTTTTTTAACAGGTCTCATAATGGCAGTTTATATATACATGTACATGGCTACATAAACAAAGCAACTATCATAAATAGTGAACACATACCTGTACATGATACACAATAATCTATGAACATAATAATAAAGCCATATTAAGCTGAAATACATTTCATCTTATACAATTCTTCTGCTTGTATGGATATGACATGCCTCTAAGAATAAAATTTCTTTAGGATTAAAAATTGGTCGAAGCTCAAAAATCAAAAAAGATTGAAATATCAAAAAAAATAATGAAATAAATTCACATAAAAGACAAATTCTTAACTTTACCTAAGTACCAGGTAATAGATTTTAAAAATGCACAGAAACACACACACAATATTAAAGTAAATTTCTCTCTAAAAAGATCACCGAATGTATAGAAATTAATTCAGCAAAAATGAAGATAAAGAAAATACCATGGTACAATAAACTACAAAGATGCATGCCTACAAAATCTATTAAAAAAAATTCAGCTGGTTTTTAAATGCATTATCTCTTGGCTCCATCTTTTCCTTCGATTACATTCAAAACCTTGAGGAACAGAGTCGCCTGAAAGCTTCCATTGACAAGGTAAGAGGAGTTATTCTCATGGAACTTCTCCACAGATATAACATTTTCTATCTCAAGTTTAGGGGTCTTCTGACAGAAATCAAAGGTCTTGGTTACAGTGTGGGCAGCATATTGTACCTAAATGATTTACAAAAATAAATACATGTATCTAGAAATATTTCCCTCTTTCTTTTTTTTATTAATTTCAGCATTAGCATCAAGCAAAATGGAATTTAATAAATAATTTTAAATTGATAAAATTAACTTCTATGAAGCTAACAAAATTTACTTCTTACTATCATTACATAAAATGTATTTCACCTGCTAATCATATAAAAATAATTCATTAATTTAAAAGAAAAAAAAACATGACACCTTGTAATTTTTTACTTTGTGATTTTATATGGAAACTCTCTCTCTCTCTCTTGCAAATAAATATACACACCTGATTTTTCTTCCCATAAATGACTAGGGTAACTTCTACAGTAACAACTTCTGGGGTCAGGATTGGGTTCATGCGACGAACAACTAGAGTTGTCTTCTCATTATGTTTTCCAAGGTAGGTTTGATAAAGCAAGTGGGGTTGAAAGTATCCCTTCGGGAAGAACTCAACATGAAAGGTGGCTTTTACTTGGCCAGTTTTGTTGCTAGATGGATTGAACTGTATGGGAACCTTGAAGTTATCTTCTATTATTTTACTGTCAATTTTGGCCTTGACCTGGTAATTTTTCAAGGTTAAAGGGCAAGAAATTCCATAATCTGGGGAACTGTAATTTCTGTGTGGTTCCACCATGGTGCTGGACAATTTATCCACATCTTCACTGAGAAGTGAGTGTCGTCTGTATGCTTGTAAAAATTTTTCACTAAACAGCTGATGATTTTCCTTATACAGATCTGAATGCTCAATGTCATACAACTGTTTGGGGGTCATTAGTGGAAACCTGACTAGGGGCAGTAACTCCTTCAAAACTTCAGCCACATCTTCTTGATGAGTAAACCACTCAGCAAGTTTCTTCCAAAGATGGTGCTCACTTTCCACCACAATATCAGAACTCTTCAGGAATTCCTGAACTTCAATCTTATTCAGCATCAGCCAATCAGGAGAGTTTTGTACAATATGGAAGTTGGAGAGGATGAACTTAAAGGTTTCCTCCTGTAGTTGACTATAGCCTGTGATTTTAGCATATTGGTACCAGGATAATGCTCGATTGGTGTCCGGGGATTCCACTACATGTTGCAGCATGTACTCAACACAGGACGCACACAAAGTACGAATTGAGTATTTGTCGGCCAAAATTAGAACTGGCAATACAGTAGCAGTAGTCAGAGTGATGCTTCCACAATACAAATACCTAGGTTAAAAAAAAGTATTGCAGACATATGTATATATGTACAAGGTATTTATAAACTTTATTTTTTAAAACTTAATTGTTTGAAGTATACAAATGAAACTGTTGAATATTCTGGGTTTTCAATCATGCAGATACAGTAAAACATGCTTATAACAAAGTACCATGGATGGACGATTTGCTTCATTATAAAGTTAATGTAATTTCTTGTATCCATTGAGTTAACAATATGTTTTTAAGCCACCTGGAATGAAAATCACTTCTCACTGTAAACGTCAATTCATTAGAAGTGTGTTTTTGCTATAAATGTGTTCTACTGTATATCAATAACACACATTTGACAACATCATTGATATCATTCAGTGAATTAAGATTTATTTTGGAGACCTACCTGAGGAAGCCTTTAAAGACAGGTAAACACTCCTCATCCTCGGTGAGGGTGACTTCTGGTTGGTTTGCCTCATGCCATCTGTCCTCATTCAACATGGCTCTAAATACCGAATAACAAAACATATTAAACAAATGTTGAATTGGACATACATGTACAATATGTAGATTTGTATCAGGGAGAGAGTTATAGACTGTGGTATAAGAAGAGTCTCATGAAGGTATTCAGGTCAAAAAACTCAAGAAAATGATGGAAGTCTATAACAGGGATTGGGGACATCAGCCCAGTAGCTCAGTGGATGAGCACATGCATGCAGTGTTCTCCAGCGGTACCAGGATTGAATCCAAATCTAGTCAGCACTTTTCTCTGCCCATTACGCAATTATACAAATATTTAAGTGTCACCATGGTCACTATGCATAACATTTTTGTTATTCTTCTGTACTTTAACTGACCTGAATGTGTGTAAGGACTAAGCTAGAAGAGGGGAAAAGGAGAAACTTAAAATTTACAACACAACAGCAGTACCCATGCATATTTGAACTTTAAAAAAAAAATCTTATTATTAATGGCATTAAAATATGTAAAACCTATTACTAAACTCATAGAATTTTTATTTAACTTGAAAATATTCATCTTAAATTTCTTACTTACTGGAAGACCTCACTAGCTGTAATTAACACAAACTTGTGGACTGAGTAACGGTTCACGCCAACAACCAGAACAATGTCGCTAAAAGATTCACTGTCAAACAATTCTTTATAACTATTGACAATGTGCTTTCCATCATCAATCATTTCCTCTGAGGGATCTTTAGGAGAAATGGCATCAGATGATGAACAAGCCCTTTTTGCATCCATTCTGGTTCAGATCATTTCCTGTTCATTTGCTGTTTTATTTGTGGAAGGAATCTTCACCTGAAACAAAGAATTATTTTGAAAAGTTTTATAATTTTCAGAATTTATGATTGAATCCCATAAATCGATACATCATTTTTTAACGCTTTTTTTTTCGTAATATATATCGATTAAAACCTGAAAATTATTTTCACCCCAAGATTTACTCCCTTTGGTTTTGTACAGTTCTGTTAACATAATGACGTCTTTTATTATATAAAATTGCGATTATTGCCAAAGAAACTTTACAATGTAACATAGCATTCTTTTATTAAAGTTAATCAGAAACAATTTAAGTTGCAAAGATCGATAGTGAGTAAAAAAAGAATTACAATGTTATCAATCAATTAACACCCTGCGAAGGTGTTATAACACTCAAGCTCAATAAAATGGTGCAAATGATGTCGCTGTGGGTTAAGGGTAAAAAAATAATGAAATGTCAAAGAAAATACTTTTTGAATGAATGCATGAATATGTAACCTTTAAGGCAAAAATACAAAAATGAAGTGAACAAATCATATTGAGATATTTTATTTGGCATATAGTGAGTTTTTGAAACGTACGTTACTGTCTCCAACATCGACTAATTACACTTAAATGGCTATTTTTTGTACAAATAACAGTTGAATCTTAAATTAGATAGCATATGTCTTCAAAACATTTATTTGTAAAATGCTTTTAATAAATTATTGAGCATAATCACAAATATATTACCAAACTTTAATTTGATATCCCCATGTCGCCAGAAACAAAATAAAAACGGACTGTGACATTAAATATAGTATGAGTATTCGGTATTGTATGCCTGTAAGATTGGAATACGTTTTATTTTGAAGGAAACTTCTTGAAAATTAAAAATAAATGGTACAAAGCCTTGTATATGTTACCAATTTTTTGAAATTACATTCTATCTTCCTAGTTTACATGCGTATGGATAGGCATGAAACATTCATTGTATTAGTTTAATAGATGAAATAGAATGATATCATGGTTAAACATGTGATACTTTTTCTTCTATCCAACAACTGTATTCCATGCTCCAACCATGATTTAACAATGTCTTATTGTTAGCTTACTATTTAAGAGAAAATGATTAAATGAAACAACCGTTACCGAAACATTCGTTACCAAACCTCTTAAAAAAGAATGATTTATGAGTTCAAATATCTTCTGCACATATACGTAGTCAAATATTTTGTGCCAGTATTCAAATTTTGACATCCGGAGTACGGTACTGCCTTTATATGATTTTTTTTCTAAAGTCTAGACAGTGTTGGTAAGTTTGTTTTCTAGAATGCAATAACAATGAATCAAATTGAATGAATTAGTATGCAACTGTTAATATTTATATAACAACCGACAACAACTACGCAACCAATATCAATCTACACATGAATGTCCTCTATTAGTCTTGAAAGGTGTTGAAACATTCGTTACCGAAGGTAACGAATGTTACGAAATTTTTAACAAATCATATATCAAAATTGCAACAATATTTACAGAATTTCTTTCATGACTAATTGTTCGAATGTAAACTTTATAGATTGATTTGTATCATTTTAAGCTTAAGTTGCATAAATTTTATTATAAACTGATTCTAGAGACGCATTATTGAACACACACATTAATTCTGAAGAAAAAACACTAATTGAAATTATTTAGAAAGACATTTTTAGATTGAATCATATGATATTGATTAAACAAAGGCTTGAGTTTCTATTCTGAATCTACATCAGGGTTTTTTGTTTCTCTCTTATAATTTTGATACTGTTAAACTCGCATTTTATGTTAAGTAACGTACGTTTCAGCATTTTATTTTGGTTGAACTATGGCATTGACCCAAGCAGAAATACGAAGGAAGTTTGCATTGATGGTTAAATGATTTCAAGCTAAAAGTCATCAGAAAAATTGTTATTTACATTATTTTAGGTTCTGTTAAAACGTCTATACAGACAATTTTACATATATCTCTTATCCGTTTGTACATATAGTACAGTTCAAGGAAAATATGACACGATGATATATATGATGCAGTTCAAATTATGATTTCTTTTGACATTTTCAATACCATGGCACAAGTAGAGTAGAAATTACTTCTCATGAATTGGTCCATTTTGTTAGAATTAATCTTAAAAACAGTAAATATTACTTCTCATGAAACATTCCTTACATACGAACGTTGTTGCATTTGAAAGTGTAAATAAGAACAAGATCACAATTCATGAACAACATTTTATTTAACGTTTCTATAAATGGATCCTCTATTCATTTAGAACCCCCATTTGCGCTGGGCAGTTTTGATTTTTCTTGAGGCATATTTGAAATATAAAATTTAAGAAATATGTCAAATTCATTTGAAGAAAAAAATATAATACGACAATTTGACTGCATCAATTCATAAAACACATTATGACAGTTGACCTTTTTTGTCTTATCACGAAAGTAAATAGACTGATTTGCTTTTGACATTGAGGATTTATTACAATCTATATTATTTCATCCTAAAATCTTAAAGGAAAACTACTGTATGATACGTAACGCTTGTTTCTCAGCAAATAATGATCAACAATACACCTTTATTTCAAATTGACGTAATTTCTTAACCAATGAACTTAACTTGAAAAGTCTTTGGGTATACAAACTTGATATGTTGATCTATCCGAAAATGTTATTAGCAGATGGATAATCAAAAGTCGATTTTTGAAGAAAAAATATCTTGAATTGCACCAATTTATTGAGTTTGGGTGATAAACATTCCTGATGCCGATGCTCTGTTCATCAAGTGTCTATAGAAAATACATGCAAGACATAAACAATCTAAATGGCATAAGTGGCAGAAAAAACACTAAAAGATTTTGATAAATTTGACGAGTTTCTTAACTTTTTTAAAGATTTTTCATTTTTGTTTACCTCAGGCCACCTGTCAAAAAATGGCGACTCGGAGTCTAGTCAATTCGATCTAGGAAATATTCGCGTTTTTCCTAGAGAGACTGCATGGTGTGTATGTTGGTCATACTCACATAGAAAAGAGACTGCTTCAAGTTTATGTATTGAATCATATAGGAATTATCAAAATCCTTATCATGACTCACACTCACCCTTTTCTTAAAAAAAAAAAAAAAAAAAAAAAAAAAAAAAGCACCGTCGGTGCAAAAGAAGGGGGGGGGGGGGGGGGGGTAAAGGAGTAGAGAATTTTTTTTTATGTGCATTAAATATCGGTCGAAACCATTCTGATTTCTTATAAAATAAAAAACTAATTTTAGTTTATTTTTGATAATTTTCCATTGGCAGTCTTAGCATTTCGGCGTATAGAAAGCACAGGCACTTTACCCCATAGTATAATGATATATATATTGGGTAAAATTTCATTACAGAATCAAATGTCTGCGCAGTAAATCTAAAAAGGTAAAAATAAAAACTTGTACTATTATAGTTTAATTTGAAATTGCGACTTAAAGAATATTTTTAAAAAGGGGTATAATTTTGGTGGCTAGGCTCAAATGCATTCTGGAAGTTATTTTTAGATATAATATAAACAAAATTTAGCAGCATTATATTAAACACATGAATATTAAATTTATTTTTTATTTTATTAATATATTACTATTATTATTTTGTCTGAGGGGGATGCTATAGGACTTATAGTTACCCTCCCACTTTTCGACGAGTTGCATACATGTATGCACCTAAAAATAAAAGAATGCTTACTTCAATAGTGTATTTAAACTTCTGCGTCACACCGGATCAGTGGCGATCTTGAATGTGCCATCACGTTATGGGGATTGGAAGGGGTACAAAAAGCTACTGGTCAACCTGTATTCACGAAATTTTCATTTTCGAGTTTTAAAGAAAACCCCTAAAAAATTCTTCATTCGTGAACTGCATTTCTGTCGTCATGAAATGGATCATAATCAACCTCATTTTGTCTGTTAGTAATTGCAAATCGGCATGCATACTATGTCAAGTTTAATCATAGACTTTGTACTGACTACTCCATTTACGAAATGACAATAAAATATATGCTTCTTTTCCAAGAACAAGACAATGCTACTGTGTAGATATATAAGTTTATTATCATAAAATACATAATTATGTACATATACACGTGTTTTTTTTCAGTATGTAATAAAACAATTTAACGTTAACAATATAGAATTTATATACGTATGCACTCATAACAGAAATGTACAATACACAAAAATGAATATATTTCCGCCTTTCCTTGATCATACTTAAAGATTAGGAAAAGATGGACAATTAATAATATTAGAATTATATATAATATTTGCTGTGGAAGATATGCCAAAACCACGACATCGGCTTGGGACGATCGCTGACCATGCTCCGACCAGCGGCGGGTTACATGTACAACGCAAAAAATGGTCGCCCTCCCCACAGGTTTTAGAAATACCACGTGATACTCCCCCATTTAGACTTCTGTTTCAACAGGATACAGATAAAATTTCTTGGTCAAGCGAAGTTTAGGCTCGGGCATCTGGACAGCTATTTGACCTTGCCTGGTTTTTCCAATTTTCTGACTGACCTCCTTGTTGACTTCGGTGAGGATTGATACAACATCCTCCCTAAAATGAATTTGTCAGAATTGAGCACTGAAGCTGAATTTTTATACATGTAACTCTTAAAGTTGAATGTTCCATTTGTTTAAAGCACTCAAGCTAGGGTAGATCCATTGGGGGATTTATGAGGGATTAACTTATGTAAACTCTAAAGAACAGGTTTTTGAAGTTAGCACTAAATCTGTGTGACTGTCTTGGAATATTTTCATTCTACACTGTAGTTGGTCCCTATGATAATATTAAAAAAGGAACACTCTATTTATATCCCTTCAACACATTTTTGAGCGATGTTTCGCTCCTAGTGAAGTATTGTGTATAGATCATCATAAACAATATACGACATGCTTCAAATGCCGATAGTCTGACCAACTAAGTTTTCCGGATTTTTCCCTACAGGCCAGCAGATATTAAGCTGATCTTTGGCATGTGCTTCCAGGCACGTGGTATCGTTTTTCAAAATTGGGAAGGGGGCAGTCGGGAAAAAAATAATTGACAACATACCTGAAATGATCTTGAAATGAATGTTTCTGAACTGAAGAGCTAATTCTATAACTACATGTAGGTAAAAGAGTACACTTCAAAAAAATAAATTTGTTAAAAAATCACTCGTCACTGTCCATTATTATATATTTAACAGTATTTGCTGGAACCCCCCACCCCCCATTTTTTGCAAAATATTCGAATTTTTTTCGCCAAATACCTTAATATCTGCAGGGATTTTGTAAAGGTAGAGTCTGCGAAAATTCTATGATTATTTTCCATGTAAATGTATCAAAAGATTAAGCATGAGGAATTTTTCGTTATTATCACACGTAACCATTGTGTAAAATCCACACTTTCGATTTCATTTGCACATTATGGTTTTTATGGTTTATAAAAAGAGTAGAACTACACTGATATTGCTGATATGTGGGTCACTATCATAATTGAAATACATGTACAGGTGTTCATTTATCCTTGTTTTATTGTCTCACAATCAGCGCAAGATTGATTTTAATCAACAAAAGCTTGCTTAAAAATATTTTACTCGGAGAAGCAATAAGAGTTGTCCGTACATATTTTTTTTCAATTTTCTTTATGATTTTTTTTTTCGTGAAAAGAGGCGCTGCCAAACCAGTCCCCACCCCCCCCCCCTTCTCATTGAGGAAAAAATAAGAGGAGTAGGAAAGTCTTTAACAATTTTCAATTTCTAGATTGATTTCTATTGATTAACAATAAAGAAAGTTAAATTCAAGACAACCTAAGAGAATAAAACAAAAATAACTACATTAGATGAAAATTTTGTTGCCATTAGTTTGTAACACCCCCCCCCCTCTTTTTTTTCAATCTCAACTGGAAGTCTTGGATCTACCATTCTACATATCATGTTACTAATAGTTTATACTGAGGGAGGAGGTACAAGTGTACTAACCAGAATAAGCTGACAATAGATTTAAAAAAAGAGTAAAAATTATTATCCAAAAAAAAAAATTCTACTTCGTTGGGTTTAAAAAAATCTAGCTATAAACAACTTACGGCCAAACGTTTTAAAGAACATATTCCCGTTTTATTGATTTGTTTTTTAAAACACATTCTAAGATCTCTCTCGATCTCTCTCTCTCCATGTGTTTTCACATCGCTGAATTCTTAGATAAAACCGTATACTAATAAAGTTGCAATGAAGAGATGATGACAGATTAAAACTTTGGGTAAATTATATGTAGTGTACTTATCTATTTAATTTATGTTTTGTCTAAATAGACCTATAATCACTACCCTTTCACTGACTGACGATCTGAAGCATACTATACTAATAATTAAATTGTGTTAGTTACAATGAAATATTTGGAGCACAGTACAAAAAATGCATAAACATTTTATACTGATGTCTAAGACATACGACATGCATTTAATGCAATTTTACTCACTGGGGGTACATGTATATTTGAATTATGTTTCACAAAGGATGACAAGATCGGGTATATGTTTTATGTACATATGCATCAATAGCCTCACTTCGATTTTAATAAATACAGACATATTAAAAATATACTGAAATATTCTTTAATTTGTTTTTGATCACGGGCGCGGGATCGTCATGTGCAAGTGTTTTGACGAAACCCGATATCGGTGCTCACATAACTGTATACTATAACTATACATTATTTTGTATCAGCATGTATAAGCCATCGATATAACTGACTTTTGTAAATCCATTGAGATGATTCTTCTGCATGTACATGAAAAAGGGGTTCTGCATGTACATAAAAAAGGGACCGTTCACGGTAGCTCAGTCGGTAGAGCGCTCGCTCCGTGATCGGGAGGTCGTGAGTTCGAATCTCGGCCGCGACTGACCTAAGTCGTTAAAAAATGGGTAGCAACTGTTCCTTCGCCATGCGCTCGGCACTTTGAAGTGAAAGTTTCGGGTCCTTCGGATGAGACCTTAAAAACCGAGGCCCCGTGTCACGGCAGGCGTTGGCACGATAAAGATCCCTCACTGCTCAATGGCCCTGAGTGCCGAGTAAAGGTCAAAATTTGAAGCCCTTCACCGGTATATGGTGACGTCTCTATATGAGTGAAAAATTCTCGAATGAGACGTAAAACAATACACAATCAATCATAAAAAAGGTGCGGAAATTAGATGATTATCTTAATGCGTATTTTTTTCATTCCTTTTTTTCAATTTTTTTTTTAATTTTCACTTTGGACAGCAACCCATATCATTATTATTTCGCTTATTTTAAAAAGGTATAGCGTGATATCTTTGCTACACTCTCTATTAATTTGTTTACAATTTAAGTCATGCCTGATAACACTACTAACAACAGTATTTTGAATTATTTCAGGGAGGGGAGGGGGGAGGGGTAGTAAAGAAAGATACCGTGGCGGGAATTTCTGATAACTTATAATTTTATGGTATCATCCAGTTGGGTTTACATGTAATTAAATCATATACATGTAAATACATGTAGGGGCACTATCTAGAGCGTTAAAAGCTTTTCAGCAACATCCCAAATAATTTACAGCCTTTATGACGTCACAACTGACGTATTACTAGTAACGTCATACATAATGACCTAGTCATAGTAAAAACCACAAAGTTTTTCCAGACATTTATTTCAGAAAATGTATGTAGTTGACTATTTTTCACATTTAGCGTTTTAAATGAACAATTTACTGATTTTCTAACATATTTTGTGAAATTTATATTTTTTTATTATTACATGAATTGAATGTAAACGATTGATCTACAAATTAAGGATTATTTGATCCATCAAAATTTAAATATAAAATCAAATTTCATATTGGCCACAGCCACGAACAACAACGATATTAAACATAAAAATTTATATCGGTAATATCTATATCTATGGGAAGTATAAAAGTTGTTCTTGACTGTGGCCACTATGAGGCGCCGTTTTGGTATTTACTGCCAAAAAGTGATATCACCTATTCGAATAAGTGATATCACCTATTCGAATAGGTGATATCACCTATTCGAATAGGTGATATCACTCATTCAAATTGAATAGGTGATATCACCTATTCGAATAGGTGATATCACCTATTCGAATAGGTGATATCACTTATTCGAATAGGTGATATCACCTATTCGAATAGGTGATATCACCTATTCGAAATGAATAGGTGATATCACCTATTCGAATAGGTGATATCACCTATTCGTGCTGAATAGGTGATATCACCTATTCAAATAAGTGATATCACCTATTCGAATAAGTGATATCACCTATTCAATTTGAATGAGTGATATCACCTATTCGAATAGGTGATATCACTTATTCGCATTTCTTACAACAACAAATAATGAATGCTCCCTTCCTCAAGATTATCTAGATTTTCATTGGAACCAAGCAAATTCGGGCTGCGTTAGGGTCTGTAAGTCTCGTCACGTGACTCGCGAGATTTTTCGATAATATTAACTTCCAGGTACCTCACACATGGAGATGTGTATTGGGTTAAGCATGTTTATCAGTCTAGACGAACTCCAAAAACAGCGTTTCCGGAAGTAAGAAATTGAGACTGAAAAAGACTCCGAAAATCGAGTCCGCGCATGCGCACACACACAAAAAATGGCGATTTTTCGGCAAAAATGATGGGTCTACAAAAACTGTCCGTGCAAAGTTTTGGAAAGTATGGCAATTATATCAGTACTCAGAAATGCTAAATAAAAGACTTCGGAAGAGATCGTATTTGTCAGATTTTTGATTTTATTTGCAAAAAAGGAGATATTTACTTTCAAAGTTAACGTTTCAAGTCAGATCAATTACAGAGAAAATTATACGTTTTGAGAAGTAAATATGCATAATAAAAGGGATATATATGCAAAATGGGACAATATATATTGTAACTGTTAAAAACTTGACTGAATTTTACACATAAATTAGCATTCTGGTTTTTTATTTGTGTACGACATCTGAATTGAACGCGTAAGTTTTTACCATCGTCATTTACTGATATACGAACATATATTATTATGAAAACATTTTTAAAACTATTATCTATCAATATGAAGACTTTAAAAACCACTCTTTTGGATATATTAAGGGCACAACATGTCTTCTAAAAATGAACCCGTTAATATCTCTGCTCCGTGGTGAAAAATGCGCATTTTCTGATTAAAATGAATACAAGTTGCGTGTCTTCAAAAACAAATAAAATTAAGCACCTTTATTGTAGGAACGACATAAAATTTAAATCAAGGAGACAATAAATTAAATAAGAAAATATTTCTTACCGGCAGTATTAAATTCGATGTCGTATATCCAATTCACTATTATGCAAGAGTTTGAAGCAATAAATAAGTCAATTTTCACAAAATAATTTAATAAATGCAATTATCCATTCAACAAAAAATAAAATAAAGTAATAATGCACTAAATCCACAATTATGCAGCCGTATATTTGGAGAAAGCGAACGACAATCCATCGTTTGTTTATATCGGACGCCATTTTGCCGCAATGCATGATGGAGCCAAAGACTTCGTTTTCGGAGTTCACGCTGT